ACTCATGACACAGCTTACAAGGGCCTAGGCTCCCACACATGAAACATCCTGGCTACTCCCATCTACAAAGTCAGTGCCAAGTGCAAAGCAGTGATTATGATCAAACAAGAAGAAACTGGTCTAGAAAAGGGGGGCAGGTTAGGCTGAAGACAGCCTTCCCATTAGTCAGAGAGAGGAAATGCCTACAGGTAAAAGAGGAATCCTATAGACACGCTTGATGATTACATGTAACAAGACTAGGTCAGAACCTAGTATATGGCTGGACTGTGTCGTATTCTATTTGCATCCTGCCAAGTGTCTGTTTACTTCTCTCTTACTCTCTGTGCTTACGTATATAGTATTTTAATACACCTGAATTCCCAATAAAATTTTTTCTCTCTTGTTTTTGTTGTCAGACAACAGAATAAGTTTGAAATAGTGACTGAAACTTGTTCCATTAAGACTACATGGTAACCAGCAGTCACAATCCAGAGAGAGAGAGAGTGTATATCTGGAGAAGTATAGTAGTTATTTCCTTAGACCAAACTACTCCTCGTCCACCAGTCTTTCTGTCATTACCAGGAGCCATGGTTCTGGCTATATGCGATATAGCATATAACAATTCGATACATTTCAAATGTGCTTTGTTGGCAAGACTGCAGGCTGTAAACACCCCCCTTATAGAAACTGCACTAATTCATTTTGAAAGAGCAACAGCCAATTGGGAAGCTCCAACTTAGTCACATGGCATTCAGATGGCCAATAGTATAATTACAATCACTCAGTCAGTCAGCGACATTTGAGATTATAGGGCTGGCACCGCTGTTGCTGTCCAGCCAAAACTGCTGGCTTTTGAAGACAAAAGCAAATACAAAAGCAGTAAAAAAAAAAAAAAAAAAAAAGTGTAGGGCTTCTTCCTGATAACAGAGCTAAATTGTCTCATCTTTAGGGCATGCTATCACATATGATAGTCTGAGTATCTCTAAGATAAAACAGTATAAAGACTAGATACACACTGTGTCTTCGAAGAGGACCATTTTCTGAAGAAAATTTACAAGTGTTTGCTGTCGAAATTTTGCTGCTGAAAAATTTTAAATAGCTGACGCAGTTGAAGTTACAGTTACAGCTGAAATACAAATACTGAAAGATATTAAAGTAGTTAAAATACACGTGCTGAGAAGTGAAGAATCAGTTTAAAGGTATAATATGTAACTTTTCCGTACTAGAATGACTAAAAATGATTACACCAGGGGAAATGGTTTGGCATTTTTGCTTAAGTGCCTATTTGACCAAAAAATATTAATCAATAATCAAAATAGTTGTAAATTAATCTTCTGTCGATTGATTAATCATTGCAGCTCTAGCCAGAAGTGTCAAAGTGTAAGCACTGAAAGGATAAATGTCAGTTGAAGAGAAAGAGATTAATGCAGTTAAAATGTCAGTTGACATGTAAGGGTAGAAGTTGAGCTCTAAGTTAACTCTGACTCCCAGGGTGCATTTTGGCAAGAAACATCCAGTGTGTGCTGCTAAAACTGGAGGAAAGCTAAAAATTATGGTGTTCAGAAAACTAAAAACACAATCTGCAGCTTAAAACAATTCAGTTTTAAATTCTGGGTCAATATTAGATTAATTCAGCAACTATACATCGGTACTGTAGTATTTAGAGCCATCCACCATATAAACCGAATTATAAACCAGAATTTTACATCATCCATCCAGGAGAGTCATGTTTCTGTAACAGTAACATTGAGGATATGGTTTGGAGAAACAACAGTAATTTTAAAAATGTGGACAACATTACTCCCACTTCACAACTCTATGTAAAAAGAAAAAAACAGAGGAAGAAGAATAAAAGAGAACACAACTAGAATAATGTCATGAAACAAAACCAGTTTATGTCAGGATGTGTCTGAAAGAACACCGAAGAACTCCGCCTCACCCGAGTGTGATTGTGTGACCCTCTTACTGCAGTGTGTGTGTGTGTGTGTGATATTAAATGAACTGTGTGCGTGCCAAACAGCACAGCCTGTGTTAAGGCTCTGCAAAAGGGGAGTAGGAACTCAAGCTGTGGTGTGATGTTTTTCTCTGATAAATAAATGAATAAGCCAGTCAGCCGGCCGGAGTGTCGAGCAGTGACAGAGTAAGCGCTATCTGATAACATCACCCTGGATCACGCTGGGATCTATCTCTGCTCAAGGACAGCCTCACATTAGAGAGGGACAGGCAGTCAGCTTTGGCACCTAAGACAGGTGGCTTGCCACTGCGTGCATCTTATCAAGCACCTCAGCAGCTCCCACTATCTCCAATATCTGATTGTTCCTTATTTACCGCCACTTGACCTGAAGTCTAAATGAAACAGACAAAGCCTCATGCTGTGTGTTCGGTCGGCTCTGTAGGTGCAAAGCTGAGAGCATGCCTAAGTGACAACAGTACCTACCTAATTCAGGTTTAAAGGAATATTTAATACTGCACAGGCCAGTTTCACCTACCCGCAATATTCAGATGCCAGCCTTGTTACCTGTGGGCTTCTAAATGTCATGTAGAGCTATGGTGTAGTCCTCGATATATGTTTCTGTTTGTTGTCAGACAACTCCAGAAAGCCATTGACTTTAAGGTAACACAATGCCAACTGACTAATGGTGATTCCTGCTCTTTTTTATCATTATGTGACCAATGATCAAATAACTTTTTATAGCCATGTAGTTGGTGAACGACAGAAACACCAAGATATGTCACTGACAACAACCGTCTTGTGTTCTATGCAATAATGCAACCATACAATATGCAATCACAAATGTAGTCAGTCTAGTGACAGAACCACTGTATATGTTGTCAAGATGCAACAGAAATGTGTAACATACACAGCAAACACTGTCTATTAATTGTAAGCATCTATACTGTACTTGTTAGTACAATCACAGACTCGCTGAAATCAGGGGTGAGCTAGATGGATACAATCTTATGACAGGGTATATGTAATATCATAATCTCTGTATCAATATGCATCATGATATATAGTATTTTTTTTTTTATTTTTTATCAAAACCAATTAAAGCCCTTTTATAGTTAAAACAACCTGATAAGATTGTCTGTTTCCTGCTAATCCAGTGAATGAAAAACCTGACAAATCCAGCTACTTCATTGACACAAAAATCATGTAAATACAATAAAGTCATCAAGATTTAGTGGTCAAATACAAACTGCCATATTACGTGGATTTTAATTATCTCATCATATTGCCGCATGCTGACTGGAATTATACGCTTTATCCTATTTCATATCACTGCTGATATATCCAAGTACTATATCACACATCCAATATTTTTCCATATCCTGAAGCCCTACATGTGACCTCAAAGTGGCCTCAACACTGTGCAAACAAAACAACCATAGCTATTGTTTAATAAAGCAATGAAAGAATGGAAATGTTAAGTAATAAATGCAATACAAAATGTATCCTGGGTGTCCTACTTATATTCAAAAGCAATCATTTAAAGCCCCCCATCTGAAATATGAGTTTAGGTCCATGTATATTGGCTTTCATTGGTTTTAGCACCACTCTCCCCTCGTGCTTTTATAGTGAAGCTAAGTGCATAACGCACACTTCCATTACAGGTTTGTCAGGATTTAAAAACTGGAAACAGATTACGATTTTAGAGGGAAAAAAAGTAATCAACAGCTAAACAAATACTTGAAAGAAAAGTATATATCAGGCCATTCAGTATACTAGCCAAAGTTTCAGTCAATGAATGAGTAACTGTGGTTTTTCTGTTGCCACTGTCAGTTGTAGATGACAACTGGTGAGTGCAGGTCTGCCAGTAAGAGTACGACTTTCTGCAACTCAAATGAGAAAGTTGGTGTCACAGCCTTTTTCTTTAATGCTTGGTGTCATTTAACTGAACCTCATTGGTTAGTCAAACTTGATCTTTACAAGTCACATCATGCCCCATCATTTCAGACCAGCAGGCTCCACAAGACACCAAAACTTCCCAAAGAGAATCTGTTGTCTGGAGCAATTATGAGATCTTTTGCGGAATCAGGATTTGGTGGTGGGACAGCCACACCTCTCCTGTCAGTGACACCAGACTGACCAACCTACAATCGCCTAGACCTACCGTGAAATTGCCTAATGTGGAATTCCACTGCTTTCTATCTTATCACTATTAAATTGAGCTTGAACTTGTCTTTTCTGTCTTGTTTTATCTGTGGAAGAGTGTCTGTGCACTAAAAAGAAAACTTAACAATATATCAACATTGCAGCAGCATTCAAATGAACGAAGAAAACCTATCGCTCTGGTTTGTCAAGGCCAAATGCCTCCTGGACATCTCCACTTGGTCGCATAGTAAGGCCTGCAGCTGGCTGGCATGCAAATGTGTACTAAGCAGAGGTGGATGTGCATGTCTGTGTGTGTTGTTGAATGCCATGTCATTACGTTATTGCCTGGCCTGAATGAAAGCACAGCTTAACCTTTGCACATGACTAGATGGGTACCCTGATTACAAATCTGACAAGAAGATATGGCAGTTTCACAGAAGGCAGGGCAGTGGCAGTACTCCCTTGTATGCATGCATCAGGGTAGGATAACTAAGGACACATAAGCCGACTGGTTAACAGTCAGTGATTACCAAACTACCCTGGAGGTACCCAAACATCTATGACAAGAGATTTGGTTAGGGGTGTCCTCGCAAAAATGAATATTTGTGTAGCTGTACCAGTGTTCCATTCACTTTAAGTTAGGATGTTTAAAGGTAATTTAGTACACTCATTTGTTGTTTGAGAGGAAGAAAATAACAGTATAGTTAGACAGTAGGTTTGTAGCAGAAGTACTGACAGTGATGAAATGGTGGTGTTTGCTAAAAGAAAAGTTTGAAAATCACTGGACACACAGTTAGAGATATTGGTCCCCCCCCCCGGGCTACCAAACCCATCATTGTGAAAATGAAATCGCCCCGTAAAAGTAGTTTTAGGGAGTTTCCCGTTACTCACTGGAGAACATCCGATATGAGCGGTAAATACGAACCTCTCGAAGAGTATCCTGACGGCGAAGATTCCCAAGGCAACCGGTAAGGCAGTAAACAAGTGTCCAGCTTTAGGATACTCCACCCCGGGCGCTGGGTCTGCCAGATCCGCCCAGGTTACGTTGTGTGGCAGCCAAAACCTCTCGTTCCAAAACCAGGCTGAAAGAGCAGCCATGTTTCACAGTGTTCCTGTCCCCGGACGGTTTGAAGAAATTAGTTTATTATCCAAAAGAAAGGATGTGTGAAACTTGTTCAGCGCCTCTCCTGCCCCTGCGCCACTTGAATGATGACTTGCTACACTCAACTTTACCGCACCAGCATCAAATATGCCAGAATAGGGGTACCTTCTCCGGCCCAAATTTCAAAATAAGATAGCGACTAACGTACGAGTTAATAAACATAGCGAAAGGAATTACTCAAATATTCAAATAGGTTAAATATATATACACTTTAAATTTGTCTAGTTAGGGGTTTTAACTATGTTGATTTTGTCACGTATTCCCGCAGCCACGGTTGAATTACCAACTGCCCAACTTCCCACCCCAAAAGCCCCAGGTTTATCCCCATCATTTTGATTCAGGGTGGGTAGTAATACGTTACAAGTAACGCAAAGTAGTTTTTTTTTTTTTTTTTTTTTTTTAGAAAGAACACGTACTTTTCAAATTACTTTTTAAAAACTAAACATGTACTCTTACTCCAGTACATTTGTTGAGCAAGTAGTCTTTTTTTTTACCTTACTACATTTGCCATAATACCCTCGTTACAACCAAAAAGAGAGCGGTCAGCACTCCCTAGCTGCAGCTGAAAAAGAGGTGCGAACTGTCTTTAGACCACGACCCATGCAAAAATACTAAAAAAAACAGCTTTTCTTGTTCTTTTCTCCTGACTATTTCACGATTTAATTTTGAAAGTGAAACAGCCCAGCTTCCTGTGTGTTATGGCTGTTACCGGCTAACTTTACACATCTTGTCTGCCGCCCTGAGATGAGGAAGTGAAGTGAGTCCCTCCTCCCTCGCTGAAGGGATGGGTTCAGTGCATGCACGCATGGCATCCATCTGCCTGCTCTGTTGTTCTGTTAGAACCACAATGTAGTCACATACTTTAATATTTGAGTTGCGGTGTTATAATTTGGGAGATTTTAACAACTTCTGCTTAGTAATCCAACAGATAGGTTATCTTAAAAGGTGGCTTATCAAAGGTAGATAAAGGTGACGGTTAGTGATGGGCTTGTGATTGATGAGATGGCACACTCAAGTGGTCAGAAAGCGTATTACAATTATAAAATTGTCAATTAATATTATGTAACATAGCCTGTATCTGTAACGGCTCAAACATACATTGCACCCTACTGAAAGCTTGGTCAAAATATTAAAATATGCAAACTTTGAAACATAGCTAGAAATAACTGAAATATGACATTAACATTATGATTTCAATGGCAGCACAATGGTATACCTCTATCTGTGTTGTGAAGCAGGGATGAGGCAGCTGCAGTGCTGTCTGCTGTCTAATTATAGATGGACATTTGCCCCTTTGGAGTGTGTTATTATTAGAAATCTTACAGGGCAGTTGACTCAATAACTATGCAAAGGATTTCAGCAGGGGAATCCAATATTAAACAAGTGTCAAATGATGTAACTTCAGGGTCCAAAACATGCCTGAGCAAATGAGCAGATAAACATAAGAAATGAGCACATTTGTGGGATCAAAGGACATGCATGGAGAGGTTTCATGCTCCTGTGATTTATAAATGAGAACACCGGCTGAGTAGAGTATGCATGCTACCATACTCCTCGTCTTTCATGGTGCCCTTTTCTGACACCCTTATCCATAGTGCCTTAGAGGGACTGAGCATTAATGGGATGCGTTGGCATATGGGGACGGACAGATGGCCGTTGATGAAGACACACTGGTGTTTTGCATTTTAACAGAATCCAGAAGTCCCCAGAGATGTTTTCGAATGAATCATTAGAACACAAAACTCTTGTTCATAAAGTGGGTTGAAAAACACCAGTAAACATGGTTTCATCCCTAATATTGCTGAACTAATTACCACTTTTAATCCATACTGAAAAGCACAGCCATCACTAATGAGGTCTGTGACCGAGGCAGGACGTGCGCTTAAAGAAAGGTTGAAGTAGACGCTGTAGAAAATGGTAAAGGTGAAGAGTTTAGAGTGGCAGTCTGGCTGAGATTAGGTCAGGTTACAGTGAGGCTGCTGCAGAGAGTGTGTATCGTGCAGGCAGACACCAGCAAGGTAGAAAGAAAACACACTGAAAACAGACACAAAGTAAACGAGTTCAATAATTTATTCCAAAATAAATCTTAGGTAAGTAATCGGTTACATATTAAGAAGCAACACATGGGTGGTGAGTGGTGACTGTTGTGTGTTCAGTGCTTTGTTTAACATACATGTCAGTGAAAAGGCAAGTCAAGGCACTTTTACCCAAGAAATATTGTAACCATTCGAAACATTCAGGTCAGGGTGTGTATATTGTGTAAGGCAGAGTAACTCAAATTCTTCAAACTTTTAAGACTTGGTCGATTTTTGCAGCAATTTGTGACATGTATGTGTAGAATCAGAACATAAGGACAGAGGTGGTGACAGAAGTTATGCTTCTGTCAGTAATGTCATAACAGCAGGTCAACACAGCACCTCAGGTAGATGGAGGGCAAGACTCAAACAAGAGAGGAGTCAGGATGAGGCTCAATCTTCACCTAACCTGCCCGCCCTATAAACTCCCTGGTTATACGGTAGCTCTAGTGTAAAAGTCCTTTTCCAACTTCCATCCATTCATCCGCCCTCTCGTCAGTCCTTTACATGTGCTCTGGGTGGTTTTGCAAACACTTGATGAACTCTGTGACCGGGTGGCTGTTGAAGCAGATCTGGTAAACAGCAGTGAAAAGAGGAAACCTGGAGAGGTGAAAGAATGACGTTATTAAAGGATGCACATTATTAAAGGAATAGGCCGGCATTTTGGGAATTAAGCTTGTTCACTTTCTTGAGTTGGATGAGAAGATTTATACCACTCTCACCTTGTACCATGAGTATAAAACCACAGTCAACAACCTGTTAGCTTAGTTTAGCATAAAGACTGAAAACTGGCTCTGTGTGGAGATAATATAACGTGCCTCTCAGCACTTATAAGGTTCATTAATCGACACATAAATTCTCATTTGTTTCAAAAACCCAAAGTGTAAAAATAGAAATGAATGCTTTCATGAAATGAGTCAAGAGCCTCTCATCTAACTCTCAGCAAAAAAGAAAATAAGCACATTTTCCCAAAATGTTGAGCTATTCCTTTAAATACAATGTACATATTTACATAATGTGATAAAACTCAATCAAATTTTCTTCTTTAAAGTGGAATCCAAACCTAGAACCCCGAATCCTATCAGTCATTGTAGGAATTATTAAAGTCCAAATGAGCCATGTTTTAAAAAACAAAATATGAGACGAACTTACTTTTCCACCATTTTTTTCTGTTTCAAAACTTGGTGGACCTCAGTGGCAGTAGCTGGACCTTGAAGCTTCTGACCGTTCAGCAGCTCGTTCTCTAACTGCTCAATGGTCTAAACACACAGAGATGCTTATTGGTCTTAGATGATTACGGTTTTCATAAAAAAAGAGTGACGAAGATAAACAAACATATATAAAGAGATAAAATATTTTTCTCCCTTACTTTGCCTGTTTTGGCGAAAGCCTCTCCAATCTTGCGGTTGCGTCCACCGTAGCAGGTCGTGATGAGGTCAGCGATGCCGCAGCTCTCCAGAAAGGTGGCGGGGGAGACGGGGCAGTTTGTGCAGAAGACCTTGGCAAAGGCAATCATCTCCATCAAGCCGAGACGAATCACCGCTGCCTTGGTGTTGTCGCCGAACCCCAGGCCATCACAGAAACCTGCTCCCACTGCTACAATGTTCTGCAATGGCAAATAAAGAGGAGATGCTGCTGTTAGTGTATTGCTCTTTTCACATGTTAATGCTTATGAGGAGTCTAACTGTTGAGATGAGAAAGGAATACCTCCATCTAGATTATATTCATATATTTTTTGACATCATTTATATGCTCTACAGCCACTATAGACTTCCAGGAAATGATCTTAGTTATCTGTTTACTGCTTTTAACAAATACACACATCCTGCTGAATATGATTTCCATGAACAGCAAATAAAGGAAAATTATTAGCAATTAGTTTGGAATATTTACAATTAAATTTTTTGCACCTTGAAGGCGAGCAGATCAGCAGCTTAAACATGTAACATTGCTTTGGGTGAGTGATCACATACATCAAGGCCAAAACTAAATTTAAAGTGAAAGTTCAGTAGATGTCTACAAATACCAAACTGCAATAAGATTATCCTGTAAATGTGCATTTCTCTGGAGCAACTTTATATGCATTGTTTAATTGCGTAATAAAGACATAAAACTGAAATTTCTGCCAGTGCTAGGATGACTGTGAATATCACGAAGATCAGATCAATCTGGTGGCGGGTTAAAGCTGACCTTGAGAGCACCACAAATCTCCACTACATCAGACTCTTCCACCACAGTCACACGGAAGTTAGTGGTCTGCATCAGTTCCTTCAAAATGGGCCCACATGTTTTATCTTTGCACCCTGTGAACAAAAATAACAAATAAATCATCATCAGCTTCCGTAGTGCAACACTTGAGAAGTTTTATACTGTTACAGACAATAAAAACTATGTTTTGAGCAAGACACATCAAACTAAACCATATTGATTTGTAAGAACTATTCCAATAAACTTAAAATTTGACTAAGTCCTGTGGTGTGCACTGTGAACTACACACACTGATGTGCCACTCAGTGTACTACAACAAAAGGAGAGTTGGATTCTAGACCTCTTCTTGTTCAGCAGCATGTCTCAAATGGCTTTGAGTAGTATTACTTTTTAAATGGAGGCTCACACAATCTTTCAGTTGAGGTAAAATCATTAAAAAACAAATAAAACTTGGTCAATGTAAGTGTGAAGAAAAAGGTCTTCAGTCTGCAGTTGGACCAGTACGTCTGCTTGTTGATACTTTCAACCATTATAATTTCATGAAATATCCAAATTCATCCAGTCACATTGTTCACTGCAGAGGAGTATCACTTCAAATGATTATCTATCCAGTAAAAAAAAAAGAAATTTATCATATCAATTATCATGAAAGCACTGTCTTCACTTACATTATATTACTCTGCTTACTTTAATATCAAGAGTCATTTTCATGAGTGTGATGCCATTTTGCCCTCATACGATGGATATCTTTTTCAAGAATTAAACGGCATACCAATGGTTGTTTCACAGAACTTCTCATCAGCGACCTCGCTGGCGATGTTTGCTCCCATGAGGACCGTCATGTTGATGCCCAGCTTCGCTCGGATGACCTCTGAGATCAGCTTCAGACCCTCTGGGCCTGCATCGACACCCTGTAAGAGACAGATCACCGTATGAGAAAATCTGAGCGCGTACGTCTCATTCCTCGGTGCATTGTGGGATCCAACAGAAAGAACGGGAAACTTTGTATTCCGTCTTTGGTGCCGTGGAAACGCAAAGTATTTTGATAAGGAAGATGTTACCTTGATGAGAGACATTCCTACGGCGTCCTTCTTGATGTGGTCTTTGATGGTGTCACACACTCTCACAATGAACTGGTGAGGGACCACAAAGATCAGGATGTCGGCTCCTTTCACAGACTCAGCCAAGTCTGGAACAGCCAACTGAGGAAGAGAGAAATCATGATAAGACTTCAATCAGAACACTGAACAAAAGAAATGTACTCCAAAAGAAGATTTACATGCACATATAAGATGATTTTTCTTACATGGGAATTACATATGTCATTATTACCAACAAGAGCATTTTTGGTGCTTACCACATTGGGGGGCAGCTTGTGACCAGGCAGATATTTCACATTTTCATGGTCTGTGTTAATGATTTCTGTGAGTTTACGGCCGTTCACTGTCTCCTCGAACACCCACATGTTCACTGTGGTGTCAAACCTGTCATACTTGGCTGCGTTGGCGCCCACAATCTTGGCAATGGCAGAGCCCCTGTGGACATGCAGAGACACATGATGATCATTCCAGTGTCAGGACAATGGCTGCTTGAATTTATAGTTTACTCTGCTTTAGGCTGTGAAATATGAACCACACATGGATTTGAATGGATTTCATACGAGGGCACTGGGAGTTTTTCAAGTGTAAAGTGGTGCTGCTGTGATATTAGAGGAAAGAAATGATCAAAAATGTGTCATATTGTCCAGTCTTGGGATATTGATTCTCTGATACTGCTCTGCCTAATATTTACTCTCATTTATTTTGTATTTTTACGTAATAAAATGTTCTCAGCATCAACTACTGCTGATATTAAAGAGGATGTACACTGACCATTGCTTCACCAACAGCAGTTACAGTAACTGTCAACTGGGACATAGACCTCCATCAATCTGGATTGTAGTGGAGAAATTTTGTGTCACATGACCTAAAAAGTTTTCAAATGCTCTTCCAGACAAGAATAGCACTATAGGTGAAAAATAAATACCAGCAGAGCATCATTTTGGCAAAAGGAGAGTCTCATTCAAAGACAGGCAATTGAATATCAACATTACATGAGCTGAGAGCTGTGAGAAATCCCTTTTTGACATCACATATTAAGTATCAGTAAGTTGGCATTTATTAGCACATATCAGTTAAACTTTCATCCCGTCATAACTAATCTAACTCGTTGAAAGTAAGCACATTACAGTTTGAGGTTCTTGATACTTGTGTATTTACATTTTCTGCAACATTTTACTTCTACAAATTCTCTGAGGGGAATCCACTACAAATACTTGACAGATATAGTGTGCAGAGTAAGATTTTACAAACAAAACATCACCAGTTTATAAAACATGATGCCTGCTGAACTACCCAAATTAGTTTAAATGATGTCTCTCTCGACCAGTCACAGCATTAAAATGCTGTTTACATGTTACTACATTAGTGATGCTACTTTTAACTTTGATGCTTTATTTACATTTTGCTGCTTACATTTACATTAGTACAGTTTTGAATGCTTTGAATGCTGAAGGGCTTTTGCACTGGCCTGTTTCTACAGTGTAGTATTGCTGCTTTAAAGCCTCTGACTACTTCCACCACCGACTAATCTAAAGGTCATGCTGGCTGAGAGACATCAGCACCACACGAAGGCTTATTCAGCACAAATGTTGCTGAATGATAAAAGGCAGGTGTCGTTTCTTTAATAAAAATTTTGGAGTGCTGAGGCACCAAAGGTCATCGTATATACTCAGAGAGCCAGTGTCAGTCTCAGAGGAAAACAACCTGCTCTCTGCAAAGAAAATGTTAATCTGCAGTCTTGCAAAACAGAAGGTGAGTTTATGAACTTTGTGAATCATTTCTGTGCTCTTAACAAAGACTAAAGTTGCCTTCAGGCTTCCAAGTTTGCCAACTTTTAGACAGCATTCACAAAAAAAAAATGCGTGTGAGATCTTATCAAGGGAACAAAAATACAGATATGCTGACTATGAATGTACTATTGCGCCTCTTGCATTTTAACACCACACTGGAAGACATCCTAAAGTGCATGAAAGAAATGCAAACACATTAAAACCCTCAGCTCACCAGTTACCAGAGCCAATCACACAGACTTTCTTCGGCGCTGCCATCATGTGTTTGACCTTCCAGACGGAGCTGCTGCTGCTGGTGCGGAGACAGAGTGAAGCCAGGAGGAAGTGTATTTATACCAGACACACAGCTGAGGCTCAGGCACACCCTCTCCTCATGGTTGGTCTGCTCTGTCGACCCTCAGTGACAAACTCTCTCTCTTTTTTACTTTTATAAACACACACACACAGAGACACACACACACACAGAGACACAGACAGACACACACACACACAGGACAGACACAACAGACACAAGACGACACACAGACACACACACAGACACACACACAGACACACACACACAGACACACACACACAGACACCACACACACACACAGAACACACACACACAGACACACACAGACACACAGACACACACACACAGACAGACACACAGACAGAACACACAGACAGACACACACACCAGACAGACACACAGACAGACACACAGACAGACACACACCACACACACACACACACACACACACACACACACACACACACACACACACACACACACACACACACACACACACACACACACACACACACACAATGTTACAGCCTTTCATTGAGCAGTAATAAAAGTGAGATACAGTGGGAAATAAATGGAAACACAAGTCCCTCAAAAACTTCAAAAGCTGATTTTGATAACCAATTAATCATTGGTTAACACTCCAGCACACTCCATAGGGAATGTCTGTACTAGTTACCCCACCACATTTGTCTGAAAGCTGCAGTTACCAGATACTTTTAGAGACAGATAGAGAAAAAACAAAACAAAAGCATGATAAGGTTATAAGATCTATTCGCTGTCATAAACTAAATTAAAAGTGGTTCTCAACCTTTTTGGCTCGAGACCCCTAGAGTCTAGTTGGGGTCCATTTGTCATGTTTGAAATGTCAATGTCACAATATGCAGGTGTTGACTATAACTGTGATATTTAAGAAGTATTCATATTGTGTTAATGATACACATATGATAATATGGTGATGGCAGCTTAGTGAATCTTTTGTGTATCAGTTCATCTGGTTGCCTTTTCACTATCTATCATGTGTAATTGTTCTTTTTGTGCACTTGCGTAGTTATGGTTACAAACTCTCTCGCCACCTCCCTAGACTTGTATGAAGAGTCGAATTAATTTGCCAAATAATAGATATAAAACGTACTAAATCATAGGAGACATTTTACTGCGAGGGAAAAAAAAATCACTTTTCATAGTTCTAGTAGATTTTTACTGATAATACATTTGTACTTTTACTTCAGTAGGACTTGGAATGACTTTTACTTAAGTGAAGGATCTGGGTACCTCCACCACTAGTGAATTTTATGCTTGTAAACTTAATGAGTTAGTTGGGCTTTGAACTGATGGTTGGTCCAAACAAGACATTTGAAGAAGACATTTTTCTATGAGCATGTTTAACTATTTAGTAACACTTTCTGGACCAAAACAAATAATCAATTGAGAAAATAAATGACAGATAAATCAGTGATATTAATCACTGTTTGCAGCCCAATTATAATCTATACAGAATTATCAAAGTCATTTTTCATTATTCACAGATTTACCAAAAGCAGTGGCAGACAGAGAACCTCCCAAATACAAGTACATTTTACATATCCTTTATTATAACATAATAAGAACATACAGAAAAATAGGTTTGGTCCATGAAAAAGTCTGCAGATTCAAATAATACTGCAGCCCCCCCCCTCCCCCCCCAGTGTTGTGATTTACACCCCAAAGGTTCCCACAACTTGTTTCAAATCATGCACCTGCCCAAACCCACATTAGTGTATTCTTGGAATTTGTTAATGAAATGCACACGCAACGGTTTCAGCCAGGACCCTCATCTTCATCTTCAACAGGGAAACCATTAAACCCATGAGGTGTCAGGTCTTCAGCCAGCGTACAAAGAAGCTACGACTCTTCACACCTGCTTACCCACACGTGACACCGAGCTTGTTCAAGCGTTTATGGCTTCTCTGCACATAGTTAAAATACACAAAACTAAAAGCAGAAGATTTGACTTTTCCCAGTCTGCAGGCAACATGAATGCTGTGTGCATTTTGCCCTGCAGAACAGTGGTTCCTCAAACGGGACTGCCGTCTTTACATTGTACAGAGCTAAATCACTGGGCTCTGAGAGTGAGGGCCACTTGATATAAATACTGGTTCAACTATCTGAGCGTAGACAAAGAGTTAAGAAAAAGATCTGCCAGGATAAGAGATACAATATCACTTCACATCCATTTTCAGTTTTTTTCTGCTCAGTATTTACAAAACTATATAGACTAGAGGTACTCATACTAGCTACTTCCTTGATAATCTGTACTAGCTAACAAGACAAGTACTGATATAATACATATTTTTAAAAACAATTGATCATTGATAATAACAAAAAAAGAAAAACTTCATACTAAATGGCACTCTTACCAAAAAATAACCGCTTTGCCATAGCAATGTATATTCTGACAAGGAACTGTGGCACAAACTGTCAAAACAAAACAATGAGCAATGTGCAGCCAAGTAGCCTGATTGATTACAAACACAATCACAATCAATATCTAACTGAATGGGCAAGCATCTGGGAACTGGGTCAGGAGTGTGAAATGTAAATTTACTTTCCAAAAAGGGGAAAAAAGCACTGTGGCAGAATCAACACATTCCAGCCGATTTAAGATATTTTTAGCTTCAGGGGCAAAATACATTAAAAGTTGCCAGGTAAAATCTGCCCTCTGTTTTTCATTTGTGTACAGTCTGTTCTTTTGTGTGCGTACAATGTCAAAATGAAAAGGAATGCTTCCAGGCAAGGCTTAGACATGCAAGAGAAAATACATTGTGCTCAAGGAGCTGTGGCGTGAGGAAAAAAGAAAACATACAAAAAATGTGGAAGTAGCAACCAGACTGCAGTAGCTGCGGGGTGAAGTAAAAAAAATAAAATAAAAAAAATGAACATCCTATTTAACAGCAAAACCACCTAGTATCTATGTCTTTCTAAGTTTTGTCAGAAGTCAGTTTGAATGTCTCTCTCTCTTTCACACGCACACACTCACACAGACAGACACACGTTAGTTGTCTCCAACAGCACGTCTCCTCATCTCCAGCCTGTGGGCAAATTTCTTTAGGTGTTCCTGATGCCGAGCGCCTGCTCCAGCTCCTGTCGCCTCTGCTGGACCTGAAAGACATTTTCATACCAGATTTAATGTCCAGAAAAAAATTACAATGAAAACTGTGAAAGTCGACAATGGGCACAATAACACTGAAGATTAAGAGCCTTTATTAATTAGCACTGGAGCTAAAATGATCAATCGATTAGACTCAGGAAATGAACTGGCAACAATTTTGATAATCAATTTATTATTTTTGTTATTTTATTTTCCAGCAAAAAAGCCATTTATTCTCTCAAATGTGAGGATTTTCCGCTTCTCTTTGTTATATATGATAGTAAATTGATTAACTTTGGCTTCTGCATTTGTCGCCTTGGGCTCTGGAAAAAGTGGGCATTTATCACTATTATCTGCGATTTTATAGAAAAGAACAAAACAGAGAAAAACATCAGCAGAATTAAATTAATTGGTGATTAAAAAAAAATTAATGTCACAGCCCCATGAGAGACTGATATAAAATATGTGTAGCTTTGATGATCTGAAAACAGGAAAAACATGAAATTTTTTGACCAATTTTACTGTTTGAATATGAATTGAAGTCCAACCAGTCTTTTACTTGGATTTCTTATAGGAAAAAATTAGCACCAAGAGAAATTCCAATGGACATTTTATTCTTTTGCTATTTTCTTAAGTTTAATTAAAAAAAGTAATGAGAGAATAATCTGCAAATTAATCGAAATAATTATTTTGTTGTTAAAGGGTCTCAAGTGTCTTTATCCTCCTCACTAGAAGCACGGATGATCTTAATGAAGACACAACAATAGATTGTAAAATGTAATAGTTGCTGATAATTTAGTTCAGACCAAAATGGTGCAAGCATGACTAAAATAAAGAGGGGAATATGCAGGAGGAAGAATAAGCAGAGGAAAAACAGATTACCTTGGAGTAGAAGTAGCGACAGACCGCCTCCTGAGCCCACGGCTGGTAGTAAAACTCAGCCCTTCGCTCTTCTTCTGGGTTTCCTACCACATCTGTCATGGTCTGTTCACAGAAAAAGACATTATTAAACAAAAGCTACATCTTAACTTGTCCTAGGACTGATAAATTAAAGAAAGAAAAAACCCTGGAAGGAGGATAAACATCATCTATTGAAGCGACTCATCAAACACAGACTGCAGCTATGATGAATATACTGTCACAAGAGCACCTTTTTTTTTCTGAAAAGCTGTTGCAGTGGGAGCCGCCAGCACTGGACTGAATTCATTCAATTTCACAGGGATTCGGCTGAACAAATACTGCAGGTGGGTGACAGCTGGTCAGCATTTAATCGGCTCACTCAGCACGCAGAGGGGAGGCCGCCATGCTTCCAGTCAGACATATTATTAAATGTTTCACGCTCTATTTTGACTCTGCCCTCTTGTCTTACACCTGAGTTGGCAGCATTAGCCTTGTGTTTGGAGGGGGGAGCTTGTGTGGACAGTGTCCACGTAGTTACGTAACTAAGTTTTGTCTTGCCACAGTTGAACCTGGGGTTTAAATCCATGTCACTGTGACACAGCAAACAACAGCAGGACCAAATAACCTCCAACATGAAAGCAGGGCATTTTCTGAACTTGAAAATTACTCAGGCTTAGAAATGTCAAAGCATATGTTTAAATCTTTTTCCGATTTGCCGGATTCTTGACATTTGAGAAGAGACGTTAAAGCATTTCAAGTGAGAATAGTTTAAAAGACAACATTTCATCTCTTGGTGATAATGACTGTTTTCCGGGTGTGAATTTAGAAGTGCAGGAGTTTCTTTTTCTTGTATCCATTTTCTCCAAATTACCTCAACTTATTTTGCTTCTGTTGGTGATATCCCACATTCCTTAATGGCACATAATAATCCAAACATATACATAAGTGCTTGTAGTGTTGCATTCAAA